TTAAAACTATTTTACTCTGATTGGTACATCTAATTTGGTAATAGAAATAGAAATAGAAAAATCATCTTTATTCTGGGACTAGGTCCCTTTTGAATAACAGTATTGTTCATGTAAATTAACCATAAATCTGGCCAAAATACTAGTATTAAATTAAGTATTAATTAAGCTCTTATGATAAATTAACGAGAACAGTTGGGTAATAGTGATTCAGTTCTACAATATTGGAGCTAAAACAATAGCATAATAATCACTGAATGAAATTAGAAAGGAATGCAAAATCAATTTTATACGCAAAGCATTGTAGTGATGGAATATAAAAATTAAAAAAATAATAATAACTGTTAATATGTAAGGAAAGAAATTTTAAAAACAAAAAAAAAAAAAAAAATGATATACGTATGTTCCCTAAGATATTTAAGTGATTATGCCTAAAGATTAGGAGAAGAAAAAGTAAAATAAAGTATACATATATATACACATAGCGAGAAGTGTGTTGAAGATAATTAGAAAATAAAATACATTTCACTGAAATACAATTTCATGAATAAAAAAATTAGAAATTAAGAAAAACAAATTTTATCTATTCACAATGCTTATTGAGTGGTGATGAAAATTCACGTTCAACACAGAATAAAACAATAAAAAACAAGAGAAAAAAAAATAATGTCTAAAGAAAATTAAAGCCTTATAGCATAGTATGGATTTAGCCAGCGTCTGATTGGATTGTGAAGAGGAATTGGAATAAGAGGGTTTCAAAGGTGGATAAGGATGATGCATGGCGGATTTTTAGTGGGATGGAATTCCAGAATGCAGTGGAACAGACAACAAAGGAATGTTTAAGTGATCCAGATCTGTGGAAAGGGGTGTAAAGGTTAGAAGGACGAGATCTTGTGGAGAGGGTGTAGATAGATGATTTGAATTGTAGGAGATTGTATGCGTAGGACGGACGATGACTATTGATTATTTGGTAAAGGAATGTGCCTAGGGAATATTGTCTTCAGAAGAAAGGAAAGAGCCATCCTAATTCAGCATAGTGGTGCGAAACGCGGGAATACCTCAGGGTCCCTGTGACAAATCTTACGAAGGCTTTCATAATTCTTTTCAGTCTCTCCCCGAGTTCTGTCAAGAGGCCACCGTACACCCCGCAGCCGTAATCAAGGTGGGGGAAGATGAGGGAAGTTACTAGGAGACTACGTGTGGGGATGGGGAAGCGATGGAATAGTTTCAAGGTACCAATTGACCATCGGAAATGTGAGCAATATGGTGTTTCCAGGAGAGGGTTTGGTCTATGAAAATGCGTAGGTTTTTTACTGAGGAGGTGAAGGTAATGGGATCGTCATTTAGGTACGGGATAGGTATGTTGGTATTGGCTCTGAGAAGGGGTTTGGAACCAATGACAATGGCTTGAGTTTTTGCAGCGTTTAATCTTAATCCATTTAAGTTTGCCCAGGCACTGATCCGGTTCAAGTCTTCTTGAATTTTGGCAAACGCTTCATGCAACTCTGAGGGATGGAAGGAAAGGTAAATTTGGGAGTCATCGGCGTAAAGGTGATGGGAGCAGTGAAGGATTGATTTATGGATGTCATTGATATAAGAACTAAAAAGGAGAGGAGATATGCTAGAGCCCTGGACCACTCTTGCGGACAAAGTAAGATAGAAAGACAAGGGTTGATTAGGGATAGCGACAGCTTGTGAGCGTTGGGAGAGGAAAGATTGAAACCACAGGCTAGAACTATGGGAGAAGGATAATGATTTTCATTTGGAAAATAGAATGGAATGGTTAATGGTATCAAAGGCTTTGGAAAAGTCAAGGAGTATAAGGACAGTTAGTTTTTTGTCATCAATGGCGGACTGAACATCATTAATGATTTTGATTAGGGCGGATTGTGTGGAGTAACCTGGTCGGAAACCAGATTGGTAAAGGTCAAGTTGATTGGACTGTTCAAGGAAGTTGGAAACTTGGGATTGCACGATTCTCTCCAAGGGTTTGGAAAGGTTAGAAAGGATTGAGATTGGCCGGAAATCTTCAGGGGAAGACGGATTAGAATTTTTATTTAAAGGACGGACTGTGGCTTTTTTCCACAAGGAAGGGAATACTGAATTTTGAAGGGAAATATTGTAGATAAAAAGAAGTACCGGAAGGATTTCAGGGAGGCATAATTTAATTAATTTGACAGGAATGCCATCTGGACCAATAGAATTAGAAAGATGTTCCAGGAGAAAAGAAGGAAGGGAGAAATGGAGGAGTTGAAGAGGAAGCAGATATAAAATAAGAATTTAAGTCATTTGGTGAAACTGGGAGCACTGCAGAGGGAGGGGATCTGGAAGGATCACAAAGAGAGAGTTTACGAAGGAGTAGCCATTTGGATTTGGAATCAGGAGCTGAGAAAAGGGCTTCATGGAAATAGGTAGATTTTGCTCTCGGATTGTGGTTTGTGTCAGGTTGCAGAGCGCCCTGAACGCTTGATAGTCGTCAGCCAATCAAGTGCGTCTAAAGCGTCTACGGGCTGCATCACGCCTCTTCTGAAGATCCTTAATTTTCTGATACATCCAGGGAGCAGGAAGGCGACGAAAGGTGGAGGTTTTGAGAGGGGCATGGTCATCAAGGATATTAATAAGATTAGAGGTGAGAATGTCAACCATGGAATCAATTAAGGTACAGGAATATATTATATTCCAATCTAGGGGTTCTAGGGAAGGTAAGATTTTTTAATGTTACGGAAAGTTATGGTTCTAGGTAGGATCGGAGGTGTTTGGATATTATAGGATATTTGGATTAGGTCATGTGACGATAAAAAGGAAAATGGTAATTGGGAAGAGGAAAGGAGGTTTTGAGCGGAATCAATAATGTACAGGTCCAACCAAGTGTCGGACCTTGCGGTGTGATGCGTAGCAGAAAAAGGAACAATAAACAGATGAAGGGAGAAATAAAGATTTTCTAGGTATGATTTGTCGCTGGAGTCGGAGAGGAAATTGTGTTAAAGTCACCGGAAATGATAATTTTGGAATAAAGGGGCACCAAGTTAAAGAGGGAAGCTTCAAAAGACGGATCAAACGGAACAAGAGGAGGACGATATACTACGGAATAGAGGAGATGAGAGGTGTTACAGGAGATTTCGATGATCAAGAACTCGACTTGTGGCTGATTGGTTGGAGAAGAACAATGGATAATTCAGGTGTTAAGGCTTGTATGAACGTACAGAGCTACACCTCCGGCTGTCTCGGTCATGGCAGATTAGGGTGTAGTTAGGAAGGGAGACTGAAGAGGAGGGGATGTAGGGCTTGAGCCAGGTTTCGGAAATTGTGATGATGTAAAAGTTTTGGGTTAAATATTCTAGGAATTTCATCGTAATGGGCTGGAAGGGTTGGGAGTTGACGTGGCAGGAAGTTAGGACACTAGACATGAGTAGGATTTCGGAGAGGACATTCGGGTATTTGATGGAAAGACGCTGAAAAAGATTAAATACATTAAATGACGTGAAGAAAAAATAAAGTAAAATAATTAAAAAAAAAAAATAAGTTAATAAATAGCCTTGATAATATAATGTTAAATAAAAGATTTCCGATGAAGGTCCGGTGAGCCTGCCAAAATGTTCGTAGATGCTTGATGGTGAATGAGATGCAAGCCATCATCCGAAGACATCTAAGTCCTGTGCCTGGTTGATGAGGACAACCTGATGGAATGCCCTGAATCTCGAGCGATCTATTAAGAAGGCCTTGCTCCGCCTTATTTAGCCTGCCCTCCAATTCACCCACCTTAGACTTGAGGGCTTTATTTTCAGATATAATTTCCTCCAAATGTTCCGTTTGTCCTTCTAAATGGTTCTCAATTTTTGTTAACCTTGCATTTAATTCAAAGGTCAGGTCTCCGTATTTGTCCAGCGCTGTTTTAATATTTTTTATTTCAGTGTTTACATTTTTTCAACCCGCTCTACTGCCGCCAGAATTTCTGACGTTGTTGGCTCAGTGCCGCGACTTTGCTTCGGGTTTTCATCATCTCCTGTAAACTTTTTTGCTTGATCACAACTATTACATATCCATACTTTATTAGATGATTTTTGAGCCTCGAACTCTTTATCGCTAAGTTTACAGCATCTGCTATGAAATAATAATTTGCATTTAGCGCAACATAAAATACTTTTTTCCTCACGACTGATGGTACTGCTGCATACCGGCCATTGAGCCATATTAATGGTACTATCCTGTGTGACTGCAATCCAGTCCATACACCAAACAGATTTCTTGCTATTTCTTAATCCATATAATTGATTGAATATCATAATTTTTTTAATGTCCTTTTTCCATCCTGTCATCATGTCCAGTCCATCTAAGCCTACCTATGCAGATGACTTTTAATTTCTGGCTCCTTTGTTAATATGAAAAAAACATATTGTCCCCAAAGTACTCTATAGAAAAGAGAAATGTGCATAGAAAAATGTAGTCAATTTGTCATTTGGTTTGGTTTATGATTTTATGGTTGCTTAATTGTTAGGCATATAACTAATTCTACACCTCAAGACAAACATATTAATTATTAATGGTTTTACATTATTTTCAAGTAAATCACATCATTCATATGAAAGAAATTAGGAGTATAGTTTAATTATTCTAACATCATATCCACCCTAAAAATTTGAAGATCCTCTTTGACATATTTGAACATCTACAAAGATGTCATTGGAGGTTTTTTTAGCTATTCAAAAAAGATAACATACTGTGTATTTGTTTAATTCTGTCTTATGCTATCTATAAAAACAGTATGAATATTGGAAGTACTAATTAATATATCATATATTTAATATGAGAAAAAATAGTCAAGAGGGTTGGCCACAATTATATTTTATGTGTAGTAATACATTTTGATATTTGCTATTGAATGTATTAATTTATGGTGACATTTTGTTTATCATTTACAAGTTAAAGATTTTTTTAAGAAAGGGAGGAAATAATAATAATTTATACACCATTTACTTATTTTCATTTTTTTTTCTTTTGTACAGCAAGAGCAGTAAAGTTGGTGTGCTGATGTGAAGCGTTTTTTCTTCTTCTACACACCAGCAGTCCATAAACACTTTTTAAAAGTGCACAGTGGTCAGAGAATGCCTAAAAATTTAATATTTATGGATGGATTAAAAAAATATATAAATTGTGTGCATAATAGATAAGTAAATAATAAAAAAAATCTCTTTTATAATAGAGGTTTTTCCCTCAAGTTCGAATAAGACATTGTTAGGGGGCTACATTTTGTACAAAAAAATTAATAATTTAAAAGAAAATCTGCATACAAAAAATTGATTATGCTGTCAATACTATGGTATGAAATATTTTTTGAGCATTAAATACATTTTGCTCCTCACAAGTTTTAAATTTATTACATCTGACACCTTAATTAATGTTTTGTTGAAAGTTTTACTTATGAGAAGACCAAGTTCTATCCTCAGAATTGATCACTGAAATCAATTGTGCTGTTAACTAACCTCCACTTGTGAATATTATTTATCTATGTTAGAATATTAAATATATTTTGTTTTAATTAAAGATTCAGAACAATTTCATGTTAATTTCTGGGACTAGGAAACTGTCCTTTTTATTAAATTACTATTAATTCATTATAAATTTCTAGTGTCTGAGCTTTCAATGTATTTTGAATACAACTGCCAAAGATATTAAGATTTTATTTTGTACAAATCTGATGCATTGTAATTTGATGGCATTTATTTTCAAATAAACACAGATTAAATTTTTTTTAAATGATTTTTAGTATTCCAATTTTTTTTTTTTTTTTTTTGTTAAATTTAACATATGTGACATCTCTGTCCGTTCTTGTTGATGTCAAATTAATATAAATAATTATTTCAGACTGGATTCTTTAGTAATCTATATCTTATTCTTTACAGCATTAGCAATTTTGATTTTTGTCTGTAATTTTAGATAAAGTTTAAATATATATTTTTTATGCTTATGTATTCCTTAAGGGAATAATTACATCAATTGTAAATAATAATTTTATCTTGCAGACTTATATATTTAATATTTGTTTTGTTATAATTGATTAAAGAAAAAGTTACGTTTCGTACGTAATTCAAATATTTTTATTTGTCTTCCTTGTACGTCAAATGGCCCCCTTTCCAAATTATTGAATTTGTAGATTTTGAATAAGACTTAAAAGCAAGAAGTTATGTACAATTTCACTTATAAATGGAAATTATGTACACTATTTAATATTGTTAAAATGAAGTTATATTTTTATAACAAAGTACTTTGTAGGTATAACAATTTATTAATGTAATATAAATTTTGCATTGTTTTTCTTTAAACTCTGTTTAGGTGTTTTATATTATAGATTATTATGGGAATTGCAGTGTATATAGTTCTTAAATTGTTTTTCTTTCCGCATTTACTTAATCTTGTACAAATGTTTATTTTTTAACTGTAATATACTTGAGGTTGATTGATGTTAAAATCTATTTGTTGGGGAAAATATGGCAGCAAAAAAGTATTGAGTACCTTGTAATTAATAGGTGTATAAAGTTTTAACAGTCTTTTAAACTGATAGTTATCGCTGAATGAAAGGATGTAACATAGTTTGTGTTTAAATGTTTGCTATCGCAGTTCTGCTTAAGATCCAATGTGCAGTATGTATAAATAGGCAAAATTTAATTAAAAATTAAATATAGATTTATGTTGTTCTGGTTTTTACATAGTTAGTATTCTATTTATTATTGTTATTCTTATGTATATATTAGTTTAATAGCACACGTACGAGAATAGTTGTTGGTTATTTTTCGAACAAAGTATTGGTTGGCTTGGGTGCCCATTTGAAAATTTTAAAGAAAAGAAAACATTAGTTTGTTACTTCATACTTAATTGATGATTGATATTTCCTATTTCTCATATTCACACATTAAATATAGACAGAAGGAAGTTATTATTTTATTTTATTATTATTATTATTATTTTTTCTTGGAAACAATTAAATTGTTTGTGTTTAGATTAATATTAGCTTAAATATATGTTTTCACATATATTTGTAAATGTATGCTTTCTTAAATTTATAATTTGATTATTATCCTATTATATTTTTCTATAATATTGTATATTTGTTGTATAATTATTTTATTTGCACCAAAATATTATATAATCTTCTATTTCTAACATTATTATATGAAAAAGTTTATTTAATTTCTATAACACCTACCTTCAAGTAGGTTTTAAATTAAAGTATGTTTATGACACGTAAGAGGACTGGGACCAAAATATATATTTTTTTTATTTATTTTAAAAAGAAATGTAAATTATTCTGCTTACAACTTTTATTTTATTTTACCAGCAATGTCATTATGTAGTTGAAAATCATTATTATATTTTATTTGAGCATTATAAATTCTTGTTCATAATTCAAAGTTAATACTTACAGATTTAAATGAGGCTTTTCTTCAATTTTTGTCATTTCAAAACAGTTCTATAAAGTCTTTTAAAATATTTTATTTAATATAAGTCAAATGGCACCCTAGCTTTTGGTGCTTTGTACCTACCTACCTAGGTTTCAATAATTATTTTATTTACAAAACAGATGATAAACAATTTTATAATTTTTCAAGAATATTTTCTCCCAATGTCCCACATGCATTTTCTGTTTCAAGGTTCTTCATTCGAGAATATATAATTTGAAAGTTGTGTTTTACCAGTTTGGCTGCTAGGCTAGGACGAGTCGACAAATTTCACAGGAAAGTTTTAATTGCACTGAAACAATCGATAAGGGATAAATTAATTCACATTTTATCTTGGAAGATTTGATCATTATTATATTTCTTTTTTTTATTTAAAGCTACCTGGATAAGAGCAGCACTTGTAGTACTTTTTAATTATAAAAGTTTTTTCAAAGAAAAACAAAAAAAAAGAAAAATAAATATTATTTTTATAGTTTTTTAAGTGTTGCAAATACATGAAAAAAGAATCCACACAGGCTTTTAATTTTTACATGATAAATTAAGCCTGTTATATTTATACTTATACCTTGGCTAATCGCAGTTAGATTAATTACAATCTCAATTATATTGTATATCAACAAATGGGTAAGGTCATAATTCTTATTTAATTAGATTTTTAAGAAACCAAAAATTTAAGAGATTAATATTATTTTGTAAAATAAAAATTATTTTATCCTATGACAATGTAAGGAAGGATTTTTTAATTGATTATTAATTAATAAATAACTTTATGGAATCTAATGTTTCCTTTATACCTTGGAATCTACAGTGAATCCTTCCTCCCCTTCCCCCTCCCCCGAAAGGGGAAGGGGGTTGATGCGCTTGTGCTGTTACTCACCCTTCTGAAATGTTTTCAACCGAGATCTAAGGAAGAGCAGGGGAAGCTTTCTTATATATTTTTGTTTTACCTCTCACCATTTCTTTTCATCTCTTATCAAACATGGTAAGTATTTTAAGTATAACTTTCAACGTAGTAAAGATCAATCACGGGTTTTATCAAGTTCGGCGATTATTGACAGATGGCTTACAACCTTAAAGACGCTTAAGAAAACCTCCCCCTTGTACGAACTTTTACGGGGTCTATTCATTTCCGATTCGTATTTCATTTAGAGTATCGCATCAGTGTAATTTTACCCCTTATTTGATTATAAATTTCCCTTTTTATTTATTTTGTGTTTATTTTATTCAGATCGGTACCGTAAAAGTTCAATTGATAAGATAGTAACTACTTTTGTAATGGTAGTTTCGTATTTGGTAGTTATAAATATAATCTGTGATAGTATTTAATCAAATTAACACTTATGATTGAATTGTTTTTATTAGATTTCTTTTATTAAAGTCATTAATGCAAAATCAATATGAGGGAACCGGTTTTCTATCCCCTTAAACATCGAGTTTTACAAACAATGCTTAGTTGATAACATTATGTCTTTTCAGTAATTGTAATATCAATAAAACACTTTTTTGTGGTTATTTACAGTGGCCCACATGATTAAGTTAAACCTACAAGATGAATTTTCCACAATTTGGAAATCATTTTACAGCTGGGATTCCAACAATCCACCAGTTTACTGCAAAATTTAATAATGAAAATTCTGGAAGTGTAGGAACTCAAACGGGAAATATACAAGAAAATATAACTGGAAGATATTCAAACCAGTTTCATAATCATGAAACATCACAAGTTAAATATCACAAAGACATGGGTACTCAGGTAGGGGGAAATAGTATTCACTCTCCTGTTTCTAAGTATCAAGATATAAATCATTTCAATGTGCCTGTAACTAGTTACAATGGGGTACAATCTAGACATTTTGAAGAGTCAACTGAAAGGAAGAGGGAAGAAAAAAGTGTGGCATATCAGGCCACAATGCCACCTTCATGGCAGAGTATTACAGCTACTGGTTCTACAGTTGCTGATTATTTATCTCACTTACCTGCTTCAACATTACCATTATCATTGCATCATTTCCTTAAGTATTCAGCAGAGAATATTAAAAAAGATACAGAACAAGAGCCTCACCAAGCACCTGTACTACCAGCTCAGCCAGATCTGAAGAAAAAATTAATCAAGAAAAAGAAACTGCCTAAAGACAAAAAACCTAAGCCTAAACCTGGAGATATAAGATTGACTACTGCTTTAGATGGCTCGACTTTATATTGTTGTCCAGAGTGTCACATGGCTTATCCTGACAAAGGTCTTCTCGAACAGCATCTTCTTGGACATACCATGGAAAGAAGATTTTTCTGTGATGTATGTGGTGCTGGTCTGAAAAGAAAAGATCACCTTACTCGTCACAAACAATCTCATAATCCTGATCGTCCATTTATATGCACAGTATGTATGAAAGCATTTAAGCGAAAAGAACAATTAACTCTACATTTTGTAATACATTCAGGTGAAAAAAGACATGTATGTCCTGAATGTGGCAAAGGTTTCTACCGTAAAGACCATTTAAGGAAGCATACTAGAAGTCATATTGCTAGAAGAGTGAAGACGGAAATTAATCAAAGCACACCAAATTCAGTCCAAGAAGCTATATCCTGAGGAGCACCTCAGGGGCCTTTATTGCCCCCTAACAACAATGGTTTCTCACCTGATTTAATGACATTTGTATCAGGCACTAGAGACTGTTTTTGAATTATCAATGTCTGATATTTAGGTCCTACAACCTAGGGTTATTCCACTACATCCCATAAGCTTTTATTTTTTTTAATTTGGTTGTATATTTTGTTTTGTTTTATAATGTTAAGCAATCCAGATTAGGTTTACCTATAAAAAATTATTAGTTTTTATGTTAAGTCAGTTTTATTGTGAAATTGAAAAATATATATTTAGTTTCCTTGCTTTTGATATTTGGATGACAGCATAACAAATATTATTAATTAATCTCTTATACTTTTGTTGGAACCAATGCCTGAGTACAAATATGCCATAGGTTTTTTAAATAAGTAATTTATAAGGATTAAGCATTGTGTAGATAAATTGTTAATATTTGATACCATTAACATTAAATAATTTATTAAATTGTGCTTGTAAATAATTCTTTAATCCTTTTTGTGATATGGATGCAAAATCATGTTTTGTATCACTTTGGAAGGAATGTAATTTTATATATTTTAATATGTATTAATTATAGTTTACATACATTTTTTGAAGCTATAAAAATTGATTTGAGTCTCTGTTTTATTTTAATCCCTAATTCAAGGAAGATGTATGAATACTGCCATCTACCTTTTTGTACTCCCATAAGTGATCTAAGTTTTAGGTCTTCAGCTGTATTTGGTAAGCTTTATAAGCAGTCACTGATTCCTTCATTAAAACCTAGCCAGCTCATCATACCAACATACTTATATCATTAATTAAAGACTTAATTATGGTAAAATTATATTTTTAATATATTCTCTCATTCCATAGACATAAATTCAATATGGGCCCTAAAAAAGTTAATATAGATGCAAAGTTACTTAACTTATCTGTTTTATTGTTATTAAAGAAAATTTAATTTTAGCTTTCTTAAAACTTAAAACGTTAATCAATCAACTTGACACAATGGTTCTTAAAATAAAAACAATGATCATTAATTTGGAATCATGACAACTTAATTATTCATTCAATATTGGGATTTTATATGTAAGTTCCATTATAATTCTGAACCAAATTTGATTAATGCATTCTAATGTTTTTACTTTCATACATTAACTCATCTATTGAAAATTGAATAATTATTATAGAATGTAACTTCGAATCAAACCATGATATTCAAGTAAGCACCAAGAATCCACATTATTAGATACAATTTCATAGAACCAGAAAACAATAGGTATTTTAAAATTTATTTGGAAAATTATGCTGACATGGTAAGTAATGAATTAGTTTAATTAAAAGTTTTATTTTGTATTTAACATCTCAAATGTGTTAATTGTTCATATTGAAAATGTTCTCAGGAAGTTATTTAATCTTATTTTGAAGAAGCACTTACAAGGTTTCAAATCATTTTTAGGACCCTTGCAAAAAAGTCGAATATTTTAAGTTGTTTTACAAAATTAATTAAAAAATGGTTATTAGATTTTTCAGTGTAAGAGACTTAAAATGAAAAAAACTTGCTCTGTTTTTTAAATAACCTGAAGCTCCCACAAAATGAAAACATTTTTGAATGACAAATATATTTTTTCATTGACCCATACTTGTTACTCTGAGCAATAAAAACTAAATACATACAACATTCATAATGTATTATAATCCGTATACAGCAACTAAATGTAACCATGTATTATGAAAAAAATTATCCTTAAAGTATTACTTTTGTGTAATTAAATGTATAAAAAATTTTGTGCTACAGCCCCTCAAGATTAAATTCTGAATCCGATACTAAATGAATACATGTAATAAATCTAATCCCCATTTTGTATTGAGCTACATTTTCATTTTAACCACCTTATTTTTTTAGAAGTTCTTATTTATTTACAAATATTTTATTATTTATATCAATTTTTTATCTTATACAAGTTTGTATTTTTATGGATATTGTATGACTTCAAAAGAATTTTTTTTTTGTAACTGTAGCATCCAATTTCTTTTAGCTAAAACGAAAATTTTGTAGATTTAGTTACATTTTCATATTTTAGTTTTCTTAGCAGTGTACATACATAAATACATTGCTTACAGGTACTAAATTTTTTTTTTTTTGTTTCATTCAGTATTTATTTAGTAAATTGATTAGAAATAAATGTAAAATCTATAAAGATGACTGTCATAAAATTAATATTTCTTCAAGTTGTTATGGTATAGCCAAATAAATTAAGGAATTGATTTGAAACTAACAAATTTTAAATTTGAGACTTATGTTCCCTTTACTTGAAAAACATTTTGAGAATGTTTCTGAGTTAAGAGCTTGTTACTTGTTCTGGTGTATTGGAAAAATGTATACCTTTTTGTGGGATTTTGAAAATTGACTATAAACTGATACTTTCTCTATAAACAATGAAGTTTTTGGAAGTGGACCAGTGGTACGTTCATGTTTCTATCTATAATTAATGTCACTAGCGGATCCAGGATTTAATTTTGGAGGGGGCTTCAGCCCAAAACCTTTTTTTTTTCATAAAAATAACGATAATTACTTTGAAAAAACAGAAAGAAACTAACTACCTATATGAAATGGTGTTTAAGTTATTCCTTAAGTACTTTTAAACGTAATTACACGAACAATAATACTTTAAGAGGTATTTTTAAAATTTTTTTCCCCATAAAACATGGTTATATTTTTCCATTTTGGGGGAGGGGGCTTCAGCCCGAAAGCCCCTCCCATAGATCCGCCCGTGATTAATGTGTACAAATATTTTCTTTCTGAAAAAAAAACACTTCTAATAATTGATTAATGATAGTAGGAAGGTAAAAAAAAAAGAAACATTAGACGATGTTAGTGAAGTTTAAGAATAAATGTAGATTCTGCATACATATGCCTATACTCTAGCGGATCCAGGATTTAATTTTATTGTGGAGGGCTTCAGCTTGAAAGATTTTTTTTCCCATATATATGACTATAATTAATTTGAAAAAAAATAACTATCTATATCAAATGGTTCTTAAAGTCCTATTAAATGTAATTACAAGAACAAGAATATTTTAAGAGATAGTTTTTAATAATTTTTTTTCTGTAAAATATGGTTATATTTTACCATTTTTGGAGGCGGGGGGACCTGAGCCCTAAAGCCCCTCTCGTAGATCCGCCTGTGTGCCGATATAATCCAGTCACTAGTGGATCCAGGATTTAATTTTGTGGGGGGCTTCTACTGAAAAAATTACCTCAAGCAAAAATAGATGTCATTGTTAAAACCTTTTAAACAGAAATATTGAGTGGAAAAACTCAGTTAAGTTCCATTTAAACAAAGTCTTAAATTATTTGTGATTTGTTTTTTATCACCTTTCAACTGTACTACAGTGAACCCACTTAAAAATCCTCCTTTGATAAACTTCCAGGCCATATAATTTAAGTTAATATTTATTGGGAGAGTGGCGAAAACATCAAAAATAATAATTCCAGAAAACTAACATTATTTAACGTAAATCACATGTTTCCAAGAGAATTAAATGAAATTTTCTTAGGATATGTGAACTTTTAAATGTTTTCTAAGAAGTTTAAATGTTGAACTTCTGAAAAAAAGTATCTAAAATCCACCGAATCAAGCCAATGCCAATGTTTAAAATACTATTTCACTACTTGTGTAAAAGAAGAAGTTAAATCTAAAAATATTTCATGGATATGTTTATAACCTCAAATATATTTACTATAGACTATTAACTCTAGATAAGATATTATATTTAAATAATTAGGTATCCGTTTATTCCAAAAACTAATCAAGTAACCTTTTATAAAATTAAATTAGTGAATATTTTGATGAATTTTCCCTTTGTGAAATCACAACATTAACTTGAGTTAAAAGAATAATATGTCGAATATACGGTCTGAAGCATTGCAATAATGTAATCGATAGATGATCAAAATTTGTTAGTAGGTCATATAAGCCTAAAAATTTTATAGCCTAAAACCAAAACACAGTTTCGAAAATTTCCACGATCGCAATACTTTTCCTTACTATATAGAAATAGAAATAGAAAAATAACTTTATTCTGGGACACAGTCCCTTGAGAATAACAAAATAGAACAAAATTAATATATTACATCTGGCCAAAATAAAATCAATCGAAAAAAAGAAATAATGTAAAAAAAAATATAAGGTAAAAATTCTATATACAAAACAAACTAAACTATATACAAAACCATTAATACTATGACAAGACACTTAAAGCTGTTTGCTCTTATAGACCAGTATACACTTTTACGAAAAAAATAAAGAATTAAAAAATAAAAATGTATCAAATTCTCTATTAAAATCAGCTCGAATGGTTAGCAACTATCTGACTGTTTTTGGGATAGGAATTGGAATAGGAGGGTTTTGAATGTGGATATGGATGGGGAATGTCGAATTTTGATAGGGAGGGAATTCCAGAAATTGACAGAGCGAACAATAAAGGAATTTTGGAATGAGGCAGATCTGTGAGAAGGCATGTAAAGGTTAGAAGGTCGAGATCTTGTGGACAGGGAATGGACTGAGGATTTGAACTGGAGAAGGTTGTAGGCGTAAGAAGGACGATGGTTGTTGATGATTTGGTAGAGGAACGTACCTAGGAAATATTGTCTTCGGAAGGAGGGGAAAAGCCACTTTAACTCAGCGTAGTGGTGAGAAACATGGGAGTATCTTGGGGCCCCGATCACAAATCTTACGCAGCTGTTCATTAGTCTTTTCAGTCTATCACGGAGCTCCACAGAGAGGCCATCATACACCACACAGCTATAGTCAAAGTGGGAAAAATGAGAGAGGAAACTAGGAGTCTACGCGTATGTTGAGGTAGGAGATGGCGGAAGCGATGGAATAGTTTGAGGGTGGAAATTGTCCGTCGAGTGATATGAGAAATATGGTGATTCCAAAAGAGGTTTTGATCAATGAAAAATCCTAAATTTTTAACAGAGGAGTAGAAGGAGATTG